ATAAACGCGCCCTACAATTGTAGGGACGACTGACGATACGGGCCTTAGTGGCAATATGGAACTAGCCCACCATTTGTCTTTTGTTTCCATGGATGTTGTGATTCTTTCCCTTAATTTTGTTGTGTTGTTCTATTAAAAGCTTAATAACTCAAAATATAGTGATTTTATCTGAATAATAGAAAAGGTCATAAAAAATTGAATCCAAACTTGCACAAATATGCAGGGTGATGCATTTGAAATTTTTGACAAAAGTAGTATTTTGACCACCCTGTATGAGCAAAAATGAAAATTCGAAAAAATAGTAAATGAGGTGTGAAAGTTTCTTCTATACAAAATTGCCGAAGAGGGCGGTTTTTCTGTACAGAACACCTTACATCTCAGTAGCTTATTACCAAAACCTCATGGTATGTTATACCAATTTTCTTGTTTTGTGTTTGGTTTATCCAAATATGCAATTCATTCCATTTAAGAAATCACAAGTTTGATATGTTGGTCAAAATTGGGACATCCTGTATAATTGCCAATATATTAGAAATGTGCCCTCAAATGTCATGTATAACATGCCATAAATAGATTTTCCCAAAATTTATTTGTTCATGAATGATATTCCGACCACAGATGGATGGGCCAACCTGTATACTTATGTATCAACATGGCCAATAAAGACTACTACTCGAGCGACTTCTACCTATGAATGCCTGGGCAGTCGATGAGGAGCGAAAAGAAGCGGCGGTCGAATGCTCATCTTTGTTTTTACGCAGAGTAAATGAAGTTTAGATAGGGTATAGCTTGCCGACCCCTCCTACGCCTTTTGGCCTGACAAAAAGGACCGCTCGAAGAACGGAGAATGTCGTCAACCGTCAGTTAAAGGGGATAGTAGGGGCAGTCAACTTATATGCGGGAATGGAAAACAATGGACCACAATCTGATAAAACTATGGCATCCGAAAATTCCAGCTTATCCGGCAGACTGATGCGCGTTGTCAAGTTTCGTTAAGTTCGAAATTCCCTCCATTACCATTCCAGTTTTACTCCGTTCTTACACCCGCATTCAAAAAAGATGGGAGTCGTATGTTTATAACGTTATCACGCATTTTGTTCATTATCATAATACTATCTAACATGTCTCTTGACGGGTTGATGAACTTCTGAATCATGAGCATAACACAGAATACGTTGATAAATTGTACAAGGAGAGAGAACAACTCGTTTTGATCTCTTGGAAAAAGGCTTACTAAAGAGAGATTCTATATTTAAGGGATGTTTCTGTTCGAATATAACGTCTATTCAACAGTCACATATGTGGCGCGCTATGAAAAATTCAACAACCGGAGCTGCCAACCCCTGATGATCAGCGATAGATAGAATAGAAATTACCTAATGCTGTTATGCTTTCCACAAAACACCTTTGAGCAATTTAATGTTTCAGGATCGCAGCTAATGTAAGTTTATGTGAAATAGTTTGTAGAGCTTCTTAATATCGGTATACTCATATTCTGTAGTTGTTATGAAAAACTATCTACGGCTTCTGTAGGTTTAAAACTTAAATATTATGCTTCAACATAAGTGGTCTTGTTACGCTTTTAAATATTTGCAGTTAGCAAAGAGGTTCATAAGAATGGACTGAAAGTCAGATATTATGATAATGTTATACAAAGGAAGTCAAGTTGTCTTGCGGAAAGTTGAATGAAAAACAAAGGGCAATATTGAGCATGTCCGCAATAAAAGAACAGGAGCATAAATGACTGAGTTCTTAACCCTAGTGACGTACTTTTCCGCTTATTAGTCCAAATGGGCCGATCTGGATACAAGTGTAACACGAAGGAAGACAAAGCTGGAAACCAGAAGCTACCAACCAATGAAGTGACATAAAATATATGTACAAAATCTTGCACAAGCCACAAAACTAAAATATACTGTCATTAATGATCGCTGTACTTGAAAAAGCCTACCGTGATGCCACAAACTTCGTACAATAAACATAAATTAAGACATACGTGTGGTTTGACTCGGCGCCAAAAAATTATGAATCCTGTGGAACTGTGACAAAATATTTCTGTAGTATGCACAATACTAAAAAGATAATCTGGCTACTACAGTTACATCACAGTTCTTAACGATAACGATTCTTATAAAAGAATTCGGATTTATCGCTAATTTTAGTAGTTTTTCTCGCCAGGTGCTACAGAAGCTCACTACCAGGAAGGCAAATATACAGGGTGCTTCAGAACTATGGGATCAAACTTGTAGGGCTTATTCAGTGTAACAGTAGGAAACATTTTAGTATAGGGACCCATATCCGGCGCTTGCGTGTTGTTATCTTTAAAAACGATAACAGAGATTGCTTTTAGTAGCTGCATTCCATATCGCCTTAGTCGTGCTATTGTATTTGTGAAGTTGACAAAAATTAAATGTTGATAATGGAAAACTTTACAAATCATTGGCGGATATGTATTTGGCATACGGAGCAACAAGCTGCAATGCACGAGCAGCAGCTCGGTTGTATGAAGAACGTTATCCCGGACGACAGCCTCCGGGATACAAAAAGTTTATTGGTATTCATCGGCGGCTCTCCAAGACAGGCATGTTTAAAACCTACATACATGATACTGGTGTCGCTCGAACCCTAAGAACGGTCGAATTTGAAGAAGAGGTCTTTCAGCGAGTTGTCGACGAACCATCAAGTATCACACGTCATATTGCTGAGGATATGAATACGAGTAACGCTTCCGTCTGGCGGGTGCTACACGAGCAACAACTTTATCCTTACCACTTCCAGAAAGTTCAAGGATTGACTGCAGCCGATTATCATCCTAGAGTTCAATTTTGCCAAAGGCTTCTTCATCAAATCGCTGCAGAACCAAATTTTTTACGCTGTTTTATGGACCAATGAAGCCTCTTTTACAAGAGACGGTATTTTTAATAGTAGGAATAGCCACGTTTGGGAAAAAGGAAATCCCCATGCAATTTTTCCTAGAAAACATCAGCAACGTTGGTCTGTCAACGTATGGGCAGGCATTGTTGATGATTATTTGATTGGGCCATCCCTTCTACCGGATCGGTAGACAGGACCTATTTACCGGCGTTTCTTGGTGGAAGTTCTTGCAGAACTTCTTGAAAACGTTCCATTTAACGTGCGACAGCAAATGTGGTTTCAGCATGATGGAGCGCCGATTTAACGTCGCTAGATTTCTTCCTGTGGGGACATGTAAAGTATTTGGTTTACGAAACTCCAGTAGAAACAGAGCAAGACTTAATTGAACGAACTACACCAGCATTTGAAATCATTCAAAACGAGTATCAAATTTTTGGTCAAGTCGGCCGAAATCATGTGCGACGTTTAAATCGGTGTAGTCAGTGTAGTAGCAGTAGTAGTCATCGGTGATATCATGTACAAAAATTAAATGCCTTAAATCCTATTTAGGCAATTCATCGTCTTTCTAAATTTTAACGCTTCTTAGGGCCGTAGTGCCGTAGTGACACTTTTCCGGATATGGGTCCCTATTACTTAACCCTTAAACGCCGATTCGGTGTCCCGCTAGGACCCCAAGTGACAATTTTATCTGATATCCTTATTATTTGAACACATTGGCAACGTTGCTTCTAGGTATGTGTTTGTAAATGCTTGACCAACAATATTTCAGTATGCTGCGGCGAATCGTAGTGATCGCGTCTAGTAATTAGCGTTATAGGTAAGTGGGGTCCCGCTGCGACCCCGGTTCGGCATTAAGCGGTACCAAAGATTTGCGACAATAAATGTATATTTTTCAGATATTTCGCTTAAAATGAACCGTTGGGAGCAAACTAGGCCACTTACACAGAAAGAACTGGAAGAAATAAACAACGAAACTGATTTTGATGCTGAAATTGGGTGTGGAAGCGATGAAGAATCGGGCAATGAGGAGGATCAAGATGTGATGGTGAAGAATGTGTCGGAAACGGAGGACCACCTAGAAATACACAGTGAAGTGGAGTCAGACGAAGAATATACCGAATCTCAAGAAGCCGCGGGTGCCACATATACTGCTAAATCAGGTCTTCAATGGAATAGTAAACCTTTTGTTAGAGCTAGACGACTACAAAAAAATATTATTGATGCACGTCCAGGAGTTTCAAATTACAGTAAAGGAGCTAACACACTTTTAGATATTTTTACCTTATTTTTGACAAAGGAAATGAAAGAAATTATTTGTCGTTACACCAATGAAGAAGCTACAAGATATTTTGATGAGTGGAATATCAAAGTCCAAATCGTCAAAAAAATGGTCGATTCTTGAAGAAGATGAACTTGACAGCTTCTTAGGAGTACTCCTAAAAGCAGGTGCACTAAGGTGTAGAAAGGAATCAACACGAGAAATGTGGTCAACTGATACTTCTATACGCCGTTCATTTTTTACTGCTGCTTTGTCGCGGGACCGATTTGAGCAGATATCAATTTTTTTACGCTTTGACAACAAATCAACCAGAGCAGAGAGAAAGGAACACGACAAATTAGCAGCAATAAGAGATATTTGGGATATGTTTGTTGACAATTGCAAGAAGACATTTGAGCCATACGAACATGTCACGGTTGATGAACAGTTAGTTTCTTTCCGTGGAAAATGCCCATTTAAGCAATGCATAAAGTCAAAGCCTGGACGATACGGTATAAAAATTTGGGCAGCTGCTGATGTTAAAACATCATATTTATGCAATCTTCAGGTATATACGGGAAAACCTCGCGGTGGTGTACCAGAAAAAAATCAAGGTTTCCGTGTAGTATCAGATTTGGTAGAACCGTATCACAACAGCTGGCGAGGAATAACTACAGATAATTTTTTTACAAGTGTCCCCCTCGCCAACTATTTGTTGACCAAAAAACTCACATTACTGGGAACTGTTAGAAAGAACAAGCCTGATACACCAGCACTGCTAAACATAAAATCGAGACCAGTATAATCGTCCATATTTCTATTCACTAAAGATCTTACAATGGTCTCATATGTTCCTAAAAAAAATAGAATGGTACATTTATTATCAAGCCAACATGATGACGATAAAGTATGTGCTTACTTACAAAATAAGCGAAATATGATCATAGATTACAATGCGAGTAAGGGGGGCGTTGACCATGCAGATCAACTTATTAGAGAGTATTCATGCAGCAGAAGAACAGCTCGATGGCCGTATAGATTATTTATGAACGTGATAGATATTTGTGCTTCAAATGCTTTCATTTTATACAATGAAAAAAATCCTGATTGGCAGAAAAATAATTACTCGAGACGACGATTATTTCTTTTACAATTGGGAGATGATCTCGCTCGGAACTATATGGTGAAAAGATCCCACTACAAAAATCATACGGACCGTGTAAAAACGGCTCTACGAGACTGCGGAGTAGTAATGGACGACCAACATATTCCTAAACCACAAGCTCCTGCTAGAAAACGGGCCAAATGTTATGAATGCCCTCGAAAAGATGACAGGAAAGTAAACATAACTTGCACTGTTTGTAGTAAATTTGTTTGTGAACTTTATAGAAAAAAGGAGCAAACTTATGTATGTACCAAATGTTTCTCAACGTGAAATGTTCCGAAGGGTCATTTATGTTTGTTACATAATATGTTTATTATTTAAAATGTGTTTTTTTTGTCGTGGAAATATATACATATAACAGTATATTTTGTTATATTCGAAAAAATAAATGTTTCAGTTTACATCACTTTTTTCTAATTATATCTGTATCGTTTTTATTACCATTGAATATTTACTTCAAAATACCTTAAAAAGCTTAAATTTTTCTTAAATACATTTGAAAAATTACAGAAACTTATGTTTTTGGTTGGGGTCCCTGATGGACCCCGTACCGGCATGTAGGTTAATGTTATGTGCACAGGCATTTAAGGGTTAAATGCTTTCCACTGTTACACTGAATAACCCCTAGAAGTTTGATCCCTTAGTTCTGAAACACCCTCTATGAATCATACATGCTACTGGATTGATCATACAGTATTATAAAATTAAGATAAATATGCTCAAGGGTGCGAATTCCTGTGACGTTTTGTTCAGAGCGTTCAAACAAATTTGATTATTTCGTACGACATGTGTCTGACTACTTATTGGCTATGCCATCATGGCCAACGATAAATTTATTACTCTTGTGTGGAGAACAGATGAAATATGAGAGACAAGAATTATCATAATAGAAATATAAATATATAGTATAAAAATAACGCAATGCCAATAATGCATCTTTTATTATTTTTAGTTTATTGTTCTCATATTTCTTACCTCGAAATGAATCGCTCGTTATAAACATGTGCATCAGACGCTAACTACCTTACCATTACGAAGACATCGAAAAAATTACGGTCCATGGAAGTTACGTTTAATTAAAATCTAAATATTTTTTACCTTGTTACCCTCAACCTTTTAAGTCTCGAACCCCCAAGGCAAACTTCAATATAGAAGTGCAATTTTTCCTGCCTTATTTTATATGACAAGCTGTCACGTAATGAATGCGGAAAGTATAGACGCGTATAATATTAAATCGTGTTTTAGGTTTAATCTTGGAGAGACGAAGCTGCATACCACCACAGGTCGGATTCCAAATTCGTATTAAAAATTAAAATGAGACGAATCGGATGCATGGCGCTGGATTAAGCACCGCCTACACCCTTGGCAACAAAGTAGTGTTTCGCAAGATACCTAATATTTTTCCAAAACATGTCATAATTTCCTATTCAAAAATTTGTAGGTATTATCGAAATAAGTATATGCCTATAAAAACATTACATAACGGTCTAAAGGCATTAAGTGCCATTCAGGTAACTTGAAGCAGTCCAGCGCTGCAGCGATTTTATACCTAATGTATCGCAGTATCACTTTGACAGTTTTTGTTTAGCTGACAGATTTGACGGTTTGCTAATCAAACACCGCAAACTGCCAAAGCTATTCAAAGATTAAATTCTGAAGGTTTTACTAGGGTTTTAATGATCTTTTAAGGTATTCTTGAAAATTTTGAGGTCTGCATTGTGCCTTCTCTTTTGTTCATGTAACTTATATGCAGAGAGCAGATGTAACAAAGACAGGTATGTATATACCTCTTGAGTCAGCTCGATACTAGATTTTTTGTCCATTATTTCAAACTGAAAACATTTTTCTGACAGGGGAGAACTTCTATAGCCACTTTCAATCAGAACAGCTCGACAATACCTGCCTTTTCTACCCGAATTGAGAGAGGGGAGTTGGAGGAGGTCGTCTTGAACGCCTCGTCTCATTAATGGATGCACCCTTATAACTGAGGCCTTTGGCAGACGTGTCAGATGGCATACGTAGTGGCATAGCCTGTCTAAAGGCAATAATCTGAATGTGCAACTCGAATAGTGTGACAGTGTGTAGATGCTTATCTGAAAGATGTTGCTGACAGTACCTACAACAAAATCATCTTAGTTGACTATAAACGTAAGCAAAACATTATATTTATATTTCAAACTATCTCGACGTTATGTGCTTTTTGGTATATGCGTTATAATTTTTATAGGACGGGATACTGATGGGCAAAGAGTCGTAATGTAACATCTGCTAAAAAATTGTATGGCGCCCACTGAAATTCATCAATGTAATGCTGGAGGGTATGCAGTTTCTTATGATTTAGTCAAACACTGTTGTAGCGAGTATATAATGACTATATTGGTGTAGGAATTACTTACTGTTCTAATTAATTTAAGCGTAGCAGGCAGTATTTCACATCTATATGGCGCTATTTTGTATCTGATGTCAGAGATGTATCAACATAATTACCTCATCCATAAGTGAGTATTTGTTGTACATATGAAATAATAAGTCAAACAATTTGCAAATGCAAAACAATTTCAGTAATTTGAACCTTAATGTCATAATGGCATATGCTTGTGTGGCAAACATACTTTACCAGTTCAAAAAGCCATCAAAAAACCTTTTTGCACCTAATTTACGTGAAAAGATGGTTGTACTTATGTCGTTTCTGAAACCATCTTGACATAACTCATGGGTTTTGGTTTGCCTGTTGTCTTTTTGGTCATGCATTTTTGCTTCCCTTCTGATGGTACGGGTAGGACATGATGTATTGTCATAATCTGCTCGAAAGTCTCCTTATGCTGGCAAAAATCGGCGTCGCGCTATCATTGATTCTTACTCACCAGTAGATCCTTCTTCAGAAGCTTCTCCAACCGCAGATCTCTATAGCACATCAGGGGAATCTCCCGAGATCCCGCATTGCTCACCAGCAGAGCTTCAAGGCCATATTAAGGGCTTCCCCTTTTGTGTTGTAAGACTTCTCAAGTTCTTGTAACGTGCCAAAATCACATAAATTTTTTTACTATTTTGATCACTTACCAGCAATTTGAATTTATCTTTAGTAATGATAGAGTACCGATTCCTAGGCTTAACCCTTTTCAATGATTTTCTTTTGGCAAATTTCGCAATTTATTGATCTCATATGAATGAATATCTCAGAAATTTTTTCAAATAATATCGTTGGTCCCTCGTAAAAGAGGTTTTCTAGGGTCCGTCCATAGGCGCCCTCCTACTTTTGACAGTGATTGACAATCAACTGACTCGGTTAAGGTATGTCAGGCCTTATTTGGTTTCCAAATTTTGGGATATGGGGCCCCAATCACCAGTTTATGGGGTAGTACCCCTTTTTTGTACCTACCTTACCTTTAGTTGCTTGTTTTGGTTGTTGTTTGGGTCCTACTCTTTTAATTTTAATGGGATTTTAACCTATTTAGCGATACGTTCTTTTTTATACCATCTGACCACGTGCACTAAGAAGTTAGCTCAATATCTGCTTCCTTTTTGTGGGAAGGTGTTGTGGCAAGCCACCATCTGCACTCCTCCAGCTGTCTTGTAGATGTTTCGTTGCCGATTTTGCTGGACACCACCCCTTTTTCTCGAGAAACAAAACCCTGATGTAAACAGGTAAAATATCATGTATACAGACATGGTGAGAGAGTAGACGTGCTGTGTGTCGCTCTGCGGAAAATCTGAAAAACCTCCAGTAATAAGTGGAATTAAATAATTTGGTTCTTCTGCTCTGAAAGGTTAGTGGACACTAAATCAATATGCCATTGACACGAGATCAAATGGACGATGTTAAATTAATTATAAGGCAAACCATTGAAGAATTGCTCAGTGATGATAAATTCTTAACGCTTATTTCTGATAAAATCAACAGAAACTGGGTATAAAGGAATCTCAACAAAAAATGGTCGAACTAGAAAAACAAATAGTGGACCTGAGACATGCTAAGAATAAACTAGAGTGTGATTTAGAAAAATTTCAACAACATGCACGTCGGAAATCTTTTAGAATAGTTGGCATGAAGGAATTACATGGTACAAGTGTCCTGGAGCAGGTGCTTACCTTATGCGAAGATAACCTAAAAACTCGAGTTTTGGAAGAGAATATTGAAAATTGTTTTTGGTTAGGAAGAAAGAAGAACGAACAGCGTTCTGTCTTGTTTACTGTAAATTCTCATAACCTGAAAATGAAGCTTCTGAGAAACAGGAAGTTGCTGAAAGGTTCAGGAATAACTCTTACTGAAGATATGTCACCTGCTCGATATAACCTGTATCAAAAGGCCGTGCAGAAATGGGGTAAGCAGAAGACCTGGTTTTATAACGGAGTAATATGGGTGAAACTGCGAGAAAACAAGTTACAGATAAAAACGGAAGAGGACTTGAATAACATGGCGCAGTAATGATCCCATGTACTGTTCAGGTTGCTGCAGAGTGGACGTGAGCTTTTCATTTTGGTTTAGTGCTTTTTTGTTTTCTTTTTTTTCTCCTTCCTTTTCTGCGAGTTGTAATTTGTTACATAACTGATCCATTGTTTAGTTGTAGCAGTTTAGTTAGTTTCAGTTTTTTTCTGCATTCATATTGAGTTTAGCTTGATTTGTATATGACTGATATTGATACAGCTTTGAATATTTTAGAGGATTATAACAATATCACGACCATCAGTTGTTCTAATTTTGATGAATTGAATAGTGTTTTGTTTGAGAGAAGTGATAAGTTAAACTGCCATATACTCCATTACAATATCAGGAGCTTGCAAGCTCACTAGATGAGCTTTGTATAAACATAGCGGTGTTAAATAAGAATAAAAATGTAGGTATAATTGTTTTGAGTGAGACCTGGAATATCAGTAATATCGACAGTTAAAAAATAAATGGCTTCCAAATTTAGTATAATGGAGCCAAGTATAATAAATGCGATGGGGATTGTATGTATGTAAGAGATGACATTTCGGCAAATGTTTCCATAAAAATGATAGATGTAGTGACGGCATTGAATTGTAGCTTTATTTTCAACAATAACAGTTTCAGTATTACTGGTATCTACAGGCCTAATCCCACGAATGTACAGGATTTTGTAAACAATTTGGATTCGTATTTGAGAAGTACTGCAAACTGTGACATTTCGTTGTTGGTGGGTGATATAAATATAGACTTATTGAGAGAACATGAATACAGCAATTTAAGATACGTGAATATGTTACAACAGAACGGGTACATATCTCAGATTAATACACCTACTAGGGTAGATTCTAACTCATCTACGATTATCGACCACATATTTTTGAAGGCAAACAGATTTAAGGTCTCTGAAACAGGAATTGAGTGTAAACCAATACTTTTGGAAAATTGTATGACCGATCATTATCCTGTTCTGTTCAATTTTGGGTATTTGAAAGGAAGTAATTGTATCATTAATAAAAGCTATGAATCTAAGAAAATTGATGAGAAAAGGTTGACAGATTATTTACAAGTGGTGACTTGGGACAGTGTTTTTTCAGAGAGTGATGTCCAAAAAGCAACTGATAACTTCTATAATGAATTATATAAAGGCATAGATCATTCAACGTATTATTTAAAAATAAATAATAAGACCAGAAAACACAAGCCGTGGATGACTGACGGTATTCTTACTTCGATCAAGAAGAGGGATGAGTTGAAACAGAGTTTGACGAAAGATAATGATAATTTGATATTGAGACAGTCCTATATCTCCTACAGAAACAGAGTAACTAATCTTATTAAGATCTCTAAAGATGAATATTATACACAAAAACTCATTTTAGCTGGTAATAACTATAGGAAGAGCTGGGATGTTATTAATGAGGTAACTAATGCTGGCAAAATAAAAAAAAATGACGTAAAATCAATTAATCACAATAATCAGCAGCTGGACGCTCCTACTGATATAGCCTGTGTTTTTAATAAATATTTTGTTGATATAGGTAAGCAAATAACAAGTCAGATTGATCAAAACTCAATTCTTGATACATCAGATCCTCATGTCGTCAACATTGCTCACTCTATGTTTCTAACTAAAGTGGATAACATAGAGTTACAACAAATAGTTTGTAATCTGAAAAATAATAGCGCACCCGGAAAAGATGGCTTACACACTAAAACTATCAAGATGATCATGAAGTATATCAGTCACCCTATAACTCACATTATCAACCTCTGTTTCAAATCCTCAGTAATTCCTTGCCAATTTAAAGAAAGCATAGTGACACCAATATTTAAATCTGGAAGTAAAGACAATATGTTCAATTATAGACCTACATATTTCAGTTATCAATGTATTTGGGAAGATAGATTTTTGAGAAGTGTCTGAATAACAGACTTTGTTCTTTTCTTGAGAAATATGACATAATATCGAACTGTCAATTTGGGTTCCGCAAAAATTGCAATACAGAGCAATCTCTACAAGAACTTACAGGACAAGTGCTTGAAAATTTTGAAGGTGGAAATAAGACTGTTGCAGTTTTCCTAGATCTTCAAAAGGCTTTCGATTCAGTATCTCATACAATTTTATTAAAGAAACTAGAAAGTGTTGGAGTTCGTAGTGGAGTTCTGAACTTATTTGAGAACTATTTGGCTGATCGATTACAACAAGTTAAGGTAGGGTCAGATTTAAGCAACATTCAAAAGATCAAAATAGGTGTGCCTCAGGGGACGGTTTTGGGACCAACACTGTTCCTCATACACATAAATGAACTACTTCGTTGCAATTTCAACTGTAAGTTGATATCATATGCAGACGATACTGTTTTAGTTTGCACTGGTCATTCATGGGATGACGCAATACGGAATGCCGAGTTGTCATTAAATAAAGTCAAATGCTGGTTGGATAACAATTTACTTAAACTTAATATCTCTAAAACTAAGTATGTAACGTTTTCTCCAACCAAAGCAGGCATGCCATTACACCACCGAACATTAATTATAAATGATAGTGCTGACACTGTCGAAAGAGTTGAAGTTATTAGATACTTAGGAATCATTGATGACAGTAATTTAAAATGGCAGAGTCATGCCGAGCTGTTGGCATCGAAATTAAGGAGAATTATTCATAAGTTTTTCATTCTTAGGAAAATTTTAAGCAGAAAGAGTCTTCTCTCAATATATAACTCGTTTGTGGGGTCTCTACTAACTTACGGGATAAGTATTTGGGGAGCCGCATACACTAGTACTTTAAAAATACTACAAACCACGCAAAATTATATTGTCAGGACTATTTTTCGTATCCCATGTAGGTCAAGTTGCAGATTTGTTTACATTGAAAATGATATTCTGAATGTTAGAGGTTTATATATTTTTGCTGCTCTAAAATTTGTTCACTCCCGAAACAATGTTCCAACCAGCCACGCTTATGAAACAAGAACTAAAATAAATATAAGTTACACCTATACCAGAGTGAATAAATCTGTTTGCCAAAAATGCATAAAGCTTGATGGTATTAGGTTGTATAATAAATTACCCCTAGAATATAAAATCCTCTCAAACTATAGTTTCAAAAAAATAATTAAGAAGTTCATCTTAAATAACTTTGACATGCTTGCATCGACGGTAGCTTGACTCAACTCAGTAATTTCGTTTCTATCTAATGTTTTTTTTTATTTCTTTTTTTTTATATACATTTGCTCATAATATACCTTATAACCATTAGCCATGCATTGAATTTGTATATTGTATGACACACACAAGCTTATAGCTTAGGTGTCTATTATTTTGTAGTAAATTCTTTTGTAGTAAATTGTAGTACTCTTGTTTCTCTGCTTAACCTCTACGCAAAAATTTTATTGTTTAAACAACATAGTTTGACCTTACTCGAAATATCCCTCTATTATCATATTTCAGATATTCATACTTTATGTACTCTATATTTATACTTCTGAGTGTTTTTGGTATGCTTCTGTACTATTGTTATGAATTTTAGATTTGTTTATGCAGACACGTAATTTAGGATTTGTGACGACAATCCCTTTACGAAAGTATACAGAATTTTCACAATTCATATACCGTTACTTGCTGGTTCTAGATCTGATGCTAGTATGTTTGCTCAGATTTCTGTTGCAATCTTGGTTATCCAGGGTAGCAAGAGCATACAAGCTCATGTATTTTTGAAGGTTTTTTTTTATTTAAATTGTACTAAAGGTTGTCTTTTTTAATTTGTAAGTTATATTGGTTTTTGAATTTGAATAAACTTTGAACTTTGAACTTTGAACTTTGAACTTTGATGAAGTTATTTCTGAATTCGCAGCTGTCAAAGCTAGAAAGAAGAGATTTTAATTGTAAGATAAAAATATTTTTTCGTCTTAGTTTTTATTGTGTTTTGTTATTTATTCAATATTTTAAATATAAATATTGAATGATCCATGACGTTTATAAATCAATTAACTCTTTTATAGATATGTATACATTGATTACTGTTGACAGAAATTCTTCGAGTGTACTTGACCTTGTTTAGCATTTTTCGTATTCCAATATGGGCGCAGTACTTACATGGCACATTCTCTCGAGTTTACTCCGTTACATTGATCATGATGTTGATCTTTAAGCTGCCATAACTTTTTTTTGAACAAGGGATAACTTTTTGAGGGTGTATGGCTTTATTTGCCTTGGGTTTGCTTTTCTTGTAAAAATGTACATGGTTTTTCAAGTTCGAGTATCTTAATGAGTAGTTTTTTCTCATAAAGGGAGTATAAGGCAGATTTTCAATCAATCTTTCTCTCTCTAGGGGGCCTTACATCTTGAGTACGAGGCAAGCGTCCATACTTCGTGAGTTCCTTACATCACGGTCCAACTGTACTGCCCACTGGTTTTAATCAAAAAGCCTAAGGTCGTCTGGGCTGCACCTAGGAACTTGGCTGGAAGGAGACAACAATCAAGCTAAGTTTAGGCTTAGGCGCTATAATATTTGTGAAACCTTCGTTCGTATACCATGCTAGACGTTCAGCGGGGTTGTTGTCCCGATTCAATCATTTTCTTGCTGCTATTTTAAATAATATATCTTTCTCTATGTACACTGCAGTAGTGAACATATGGAACATATGTGTTATTTAATCAGTTAATATATTGTGATTGATTCAAATATCGTTTCATTTGGCTCTCTGTTAACAGTCATTGTTATTAGATTCTTTTTTGTGTGGAAGTCAAGCAAAACAAGTTCCGACTAACATTTCGGGGATTTGTGGATTAATCCGAGTTGAGTCACTGGTGCTCTTAACTGCCCCCTACTCACCGCTTTATTGAGCTAGCGCCTAAATTTGCACGCCACTAGGCAGCTGTTTTGCATTGGCTGACCATTAGATTTTATTTATCGTATTTCATTAATTAATTACGAAAAAAAGAGGCAACACTACCATTTCCATCCATTTACAGAAACGGCGTGTCATCCTTCCTTG